ATCTACCTGGCAACAGAAGGCCCTTTGGGTGTCATGAAACAAGCTAGCAGTATATATAACCTCTGTACTATATCAACCATACCTTCCTTTATTGAAGATCTAAATACAGCACTTTTGAGCACTAGCAACAGATAAACCACATACAACCCAGCTGGAACAACTCTGCAGAGTGCAAACACGCCTCAGCAAGACATCACAAATCACGTTGACCTTGCTAGCCTTTTTATTTGGGGTTAGTAGGCTGTGGCAGCAAGATTAGACACATCCATAAATACTGGCCTGGACTGCTCATCACCCCAAACCCAAAACAGCCATTTAGAGAGATGTGGCGGGCATGCTATCACTCATTGTCTTATCATTTAGCCTGCTGGGTTAGCGTTACCTGAAGGTTAAATGGACCAGTCATCAAGAATCTAATGTTCCCGTGGAGAGAAGACTTTGACATGGTTCCAAGATGAGGGGATTTAAAGGGGATGCAGGTTGGAATGGGCAGATCCGCGCTGAAAGGAGGGAATTGGTTATGCATCTTAAGCAAGACTTCAAGTGTGAGGAAAATATTTTAAATAGGGAACGGACGGATAGAATAGAAGATTTAGACACAACTGTACGTCGTAATATATCTTAATATTTATTCTAATAAATCTAAAATGAATACTACATAAGTGTATTTGTATTAGGAGTAGAAGATATCGCATTATCATAAGCTGTAATCTTTTTTTATGAATTATAAACGATATGCATCATGAAGATGTCATGAAGGATGGAATATGAACTTCTGACAACCTAAATACTTTAGCTTTCCAAAAAACTGAGACGCACATCACATAAATGATGAAATCATATTGTCATGCTAACTACAGCAATATTTCAAAATGTCTGATTTTTTTAGAAGGCTAAGACCAAGAAACTTCATTACGTAGTACATTCTGTGTAAAAACAAGCAAATCTTCTGCTCTCTAAAAAACGTAAAATATCATATTACAAAAGCAAACCCACAAATAACATTAATTGAATCATTTTGACTTGAACATGAATCACGGAGCAATCAGGTAGGTGAATATTATACTGTACAGATGTAAATAGACTTCAACCATGGGACAAAACAAGAAACAAGTACACATTGGTAAGCCTGGAGTATGTTTTGCCAACATGAGAAGTTGTGGGATCCTTGCTTTGACAGACAGCTGAGTATGGTGCCATGTTTTCAAAACTTGCACAATGGTGCTGATGAGTGCAGGAACAGTATGAACTTGGTACATGTACATGGTTGTCTGCTTGACCAGCCTCCTGTAATCTGATGTTTGCTTCTAAAATTGAATCTCACAATTCACTTGTATACAATTTTAAAATGTAGAAGCCTATAGAGTCTACCTATTTGGCAAACACATATTGAATCATGTTGAAGGCTAACAAAAATGCTTTCGTTAATGTTATCACTGATGTTAGGTTGAACTTTTGTCACAATTGTCACAGTGGTAAAACTATTTTGCAGGATATCAAACTTAAGCATGCTACTGGGCTATTCTAAACAATGTTACTTACATCCAGTTTCTCAACCATTTACAGATTGGACTGTATGGTGTCAAAGAAATTCAGCAAGATGGAAATATGCAAATGAGCCTTATGTTTTGACAACACTGACTTCGGAATAGTTGCTGAAGACATGACTTATTAGATTCTGTGCTTATTATGTATACAAAACACCACACATATGCACATTTTTCTTCGCCCCAAACACCTAATTTTTGGTTCAAACAAAAAATAACAATTCAGAGATTTTATGATAGCTAAGGTTTAAGCTATATATATATATCCTCCATGGCTATTTTTAACTGTGTCAACTGCAATAAATAGGTTCAGGAATCAATTTTGTTTACATCACACCATGAAATTTCCCAATGTGGCATATACAGTCTATATGTATAACACAATTTCTGTCTACTTCAATGCAGGTTGAAGTTTCTAAAATTTTATCTCTTTTAGTCTTTATTCTGATTTCATGATTATAAATGTCACACAAGAGCTACTATACTATGCTAGAACTACGTTCCAACAGCCCAGCGTGCCCATGTTGGTTGGACTTCTAAAACATTCAGACAGTCTCAGCTGGTCTTTAAATGTGTGTCAGTGGTATTATCAGTAATCCTTTGGTTTGTGACATTATAACACAATCAGCGCAGACTGATATGTCATGTGCCCGGGCTTAGTTCACTGCTACTGGATTGAGTGGCAAAAAAACATGCATAGGTATAAATTACATGTCTGATAATACATAATGCAAGATAACGAATAATTTTTACATAGAGTGCAACTACAGAATGAAAAGATATTTCACTTGTCTAATAGATATAATTCTATTAATTTCGTAATGTAACTTTTGCAAAGTTAAAATAAAGTGTGGATATTTACATCACAGTAATGATTTTTGATTATGGATAAAGGTACAGACCTAAGGACTGTTAGTGTAGATCTATATGTATGAAAAACTGCAGAGGATAAGCAAATACAAAACACTGCAAAGGGGAGGGGGGATACACAATACATATCATAAATCATCACCTTGACTAGTCTAACCGGTTAAGAGTCTGTGACTAGTAGTATGAGTATGCCTGTATCGGCATAGGCAAAGGCATACAAAGATCAAGGGGCTGTGACTATCGCCAGTAAACACATGGAAATTCTGTGCTCTGTTTATAGCGAGCGAGTGTAATAACATTTTTTGCTCACAGAGGTTGCCAATACTAAAGGTCGAAGGCCAAGGGTTACAACTATATGTGACCTGCAAGTTTGAAGAAAAGATAATTCTGGCCATTGACACATCATGTCACTCTCTATATAGCCTCCAACACTGAATATGGAACTTTTAACTAGAGTAACATGGACTATGATTAAATGGGAAAGGATATTGTTCCTAACAAACAAATTGGAATCCTGCCCAAAATTATGCGAAACAGGTGTAAGGAAATGGCACCTGCGTGGGAAGAAAATTACACCCACAAACACCCAAGTGACAGATAAATTACTTATGTTAATAGTCACAACAAAAGGAAAACTGTAAATACAGAAGCAGAAGCAAACAAAAGCAAAATCATTTCACCATGTACTCGTTGTGGACAAACTTAACTTAAAATACAAGATAAAAAGCCATTAAAAAAAGCAGGGACTGACTATATTGTATAAATATAATTCAATAAGGTGTTGGTACATTGTACATGCAATGTTATGTTACTCATTCAGCTGATCAGGAACAAGTATTTTGAAATGAGCAGTCTAAGAAAGAGATATGTCAATTATCATTAAGTATTCCTCTATCAGCTTAGTATGCTAATAATATTTCTTGTGTTCCAATGTCCTTGTCTGGAACTAATTGGATTATACATGTAAACATGTTACAAGTATATCCACTGCTTTGGAAGACCATTTTAAACGTGAGATCTAAATGAATTACTCAAAATATGTGAAAATATTAAAAGATTTGTCCCTGCGGCAAGTCTCCATTCAGATATACATTCGCACCATTTCCAACTGCACTAAATTTATTCATACATATTCATTCCTAAATCCAATACTAGTACTAGTATCTGCACTGTACTAAATCTAGCGTCTATGAGCACGTACAAGTACACGCACAAATGCCAGCGGCAAAATTGTGCATAAATCCAGAAATAATCAACTGATATCTTAATATTTCAACATTTGGCACCTGACATTGCCATTGTGCCATGACATGCTGATCCAAAAGTCAACATTAACACGAGGAAATGACGAACGCCATGATAGCACCACAACAATTACGATATTCCAGCAAATACTACGCGGCGTGTGCAGGAAGCTCGGGCTTAAACCTTCATACATACAACTATGTACATGTACTCCAGAATACTAGTATAATTGCTACTATTGTATATTTACACAAATTGACCTATTTGTAACAAAAACTCATTAACATTTGTGTAAAAGTGTTAAGCCAGAAAAACAAAATTAGGGTAGGTAGGCAGTGGGAACGTGTGTTTTTGGCAAGGGGAAGCTAAAACATAGGTAAGTGTGTGAGAACAAGCACGTGAACAGCACTACAGGGCCACTTCCTGGCTGCACAGCAGCACCAGCTTTTGTTTTGTCCCAAGCCAAGTTCCAAAGTCTAACACACCGACGTTTGTACACTGATAACGGCCTGGAACTACTCAGTTCTGGCGCAAAAATACTAAGAAAAACTCTTTCGGGGTTTTATGTGGAAAGTCTGACAGAAACACGAAAGAAATGGGGTGTTTTGGAGACAGAAACACGGGTGGAATGGAGGTGGTTGTTGTTGGGTCGGCTCAGAGTCGAACGACATTTTGTCCCCCATGTTTCTCCGGGATCGGCGCCGCCGAGTTCCGGGCCGTCTTCACGGTCTTTCCGCACCTTAGCAACGCCAGAAAACCCCTCCACATGACCTTCTCGTTTCCAAATATTAATCAAATTATGGAAATGAGATATTAATATACTGCTCTGTGGAGTTAGGAGGAGGCAAACCGGGGCTCTCGTGAGAGAACTAACCGGAACAGGCACAAAAGGAGGCAAGGCCAGCGCTCACCCGTCCCGGAGCTCGCTTCGCCCTTTCCCCACAACTTTCTCCGTTTTTTCTGGCATTCCTCAAACTTGTTTTCCATGTTTTGTATCCACACTTAAGTGACCCAGGTCGGGGGTCAATGGTAAGATCACAAACACGATGCAAATGTTATGCTAATGCAGGCGATTTGGAGCAGAAATTTGAACAAAAAATTTTCAACTGCATGTTTTGTGTCACGACACACCGACCACAGCAAATGCGGCACGAAGCAAAAGAAAGGACATGGAAACAACAGCCTTCTGATAACGATTGCTACACTCCATAGTACATAATCACCTATTTTTGCCTTCAGAAAAGTTCAAGTGTACGGCATTAAATTATGAGTCGCTACACTTGTTGCGAAACTGGAGTAATTCTAGTCTGAGTGGGGGAAAACAGAGCGGACACTCACTTCGATCTCGAAGTCCGAAAGGTTGAAGGCCGCTCGGAAAAGGGAGCAGAAATGGGCGATTGCAGGCACTTCCCACCACGAACGAATCTTTTCCAACTGTGAAGGCTCCTTCTTCTTATTCTTGTCCTTACTGCCTGCCATCTCGGTCCTTCAGCTGCCAACAATCCCGGTACAAACTATCCAAAGGTCCGACAACTCCGCACAACAAGCGCCATTATGATCATTCTTACCGAAGCTTACCGGAAATACCCGAATGCCTCACCGGACGTTGCCGGAAGTAGCCGGGAATTGCCGAACGAGTTGGAACTTTGAGCTCCCGCTGGGAGCTGTGCACCAGCAAAGGAGATGTTGTGCCACCAAGGACAGACCAGTTGGACACCGCATTAATATTTTTTCCAAGATGTGGGGAACGTCACATTGGTTGAAACGCCATTAAGTGAACTTCCCCACACGTGATTACCCAATGACCTCAATGATACGTCATCTGGAACTTCAAGGCACAAAGTCCCTCTGAACCAATCATTTGATCATATTTCATACTACTCCCACGAAGATAATTTATTTCCCAGTATCCGCCAAGACATATATCCAGACTGAGCTGTGTGCCGTCATCATCAGAGCAGTCATGCACGACACTTACAACATTATTGCTCAGCTTTCTGGGAAATGACCAGCAGGGATCACGTGATTCAACTCTAAAGCGGTGTATTACGTCAGCATTCGACTAGCGCCTGGCTCTAACACTGAACAGACTTTGTTTATGAATAAGAGGGCTACTAACACGAACTTTGACTTGAATTTGCAATGTAGTACATGGTGCTGACAAGTCATATGGATGTATCTGTCCTTGCGGACACCAGTATTACTGCAGTAACAGAGACAAGCCAACACGGTGAAACAGCGTCATCTATGTCTCACTTATAAACTGCAGGTAGCTTCATAGTACATGTATATGTATATGTAACGTTACTAAAGTTTTCTCCTTTTTAATGGGGGATGGGGGGTGCGGAAGACATTGCGTAGGGTCCAACACCTACGAAAGCGAAATTTTACAAATAGAATTCATTATGAAATCAAAATTATGCAAGTTATATTTCATCAACTGACTAAATCAATTCAGGCCAGGTCATTTATGGCAAATGGAAGTTCCACAGGGGCCCGTCTAAATTCCTTGCCGGCCTAAGCAGCTAGTGCTGGCGAGTCAAATGTGTAGACGCACCCATGCTAAAAATCAAAGCGCAGCCTTTGTTTGTCTGAGTGAACTACGCGCAATGCGAAATTCCATGTCCACTACACCTACATTTTTGCTTTGAAAATCTTTGACCGATCACCATCCATCCGATCTAGGAGTTGCAGAGATCGGTTTATCGTCGTTAGTTTTGTTTGATCTTCTCTGCTACCTACCAGGAAAAAAAAACTTAGTATGTCAACTCAGGTCATTGTATTGTAATCGTGTACAAACTACTTTCACTTTTTCCCATTTGCGATCCTGAAACTTTGCGGCTCAACCACACGACACAGTCGCATAATATTACTGGTGACCAGATAGCTAGTACCAAAAAAGAATCCTTTGAATCCATTTCCATCTCAGAAAGTTCATAACTTAATAGTTTTAAATGCATTTTTGGTATTGCCGGATGTGTCCCCGGAACCCTGTCTGTCACCCGAAACAGCTGACCCTGTTTTCGTGTCCTGATGATTCATTGTTTGCTAAGTGTAAGCATGACTTGGCCCTGGATACGTCCCCACACACAGCCGCCTTGTTTCGCGCCAAACGAATGACGTCACGAATCTGTTTTTCATGTCCAGACACTAGATTCACCAAACTATGGAAGCAAAAGGTAGTTTGTTCATTTATTTTTGCCAACTTGGTTCCTGTTTGAGGATCCTACTCCAAATTGCCCCACCAGGAGTGTCCGATCCACCAGGTGTCTCCGGGATACCCCTCATGGCCAGCCATGGCGTCATGGGCGAGTCATTTACCCTGTACCACAAACAGGCCGTGTTCCCGTGACGCATTACGCGCCGGAAGCTCTTGTGTGGGTCTGACGGTCGTTTGTTTGTTTGTAAAACCAAGGACATTATACATGTAAATGTCCTTGGTAAAACTATCAGACTTTCACGGGAATTTTACCAGTACAGATGCACATGTATCTGGCCTGGGGATTCAATTAATGAATATTTTTAATAAAACAAATACATGCCATATTTTGATATGGCATGTAAAACGTTATTTGTTTTAAAAACATTATAAAGCTTAAAAATATGGCATCCACACGTGGTGGACAACAAACAAATAACAGAAATTCATTGTTTTTTTTTTTTATTAGTATCATTTTCTTTGTTTCATGCAAGCCAAGGAGATTCTTTTCAACATGATAAACTGACTGATACCTGCACCTGACAAGTACCGGTAGCTCTGTAAACTCCTAACACAGCCTCCCTCCCTATCGCAGGTCGGCCATCGCGGAACGGGGTGAGCGCTTCCTGCACACGTGAATGTTGGGTCAGAATTTTGGTACTGTAGCTGCTGCAAACTTGGTGTCTGAAGAAGGTGGGAAGAAATCATGCCCTCTGCCTCGTCTAAACCCCGACCAGGCTCGCCACAGGAGCATCAAAATGCTCTCCAGCAAGTCCTGAACATTGTGGAGAAGAAAGTCCGCAATTTGGAGAAGCGAAAGGTAAGAAATTCGCCTCAGAATCAGACTGTTACACAGCGCCGGTGAGAGCATGGCGACCCGACTAGGACATGTTGGCTTTGTTCTTGAAGCTCTGGGAGTCTGGGGCTAATAAATCCGACGACGTATGGCATCTTCCCGCAAAAGCTTCGCACATGATACTCAAAATAAAGCGAAAATGTTTGCCGTATTTTATTTTTGACCGTTTATAGGGGAAAAGAAAGGAAGGCTGTTGTACGGGAAGTCATCCTGAAAATTTAAAAGATGGCGTCCTGAACGTGTTAGGGCAGACAGAGCGAAAATACGAGTCGTTCAACAGTTTCCTTGGAAAGAAATTGATTAACTACAATGTTTTCTAAGGAGAAGAATTAGATAACAATTATTTCGTGCCGATTTTGGTATTCACGTAGGGATATAAACACCCTTACCCGTTAAAATTGTGGCAGCTTTTTTATTGCGTAGCTGGCAGAACGTGGTGAGTGGGAGGGGGGCAACATGAGTTCCTTGTTTCAGTTTCGTCATACATGATAATGTTGTGTGAATAATTGCTGTCATTTAGTTCCTGTAACTGAAAACTACAGTCATACTTTTATTCACGGGTAGAAATACTTTTCAGAAGTTTCAGACTTTTTGTCAGAAATAATTATAAAGCATTTTCACTTTATGATTTAAATTACCTGAATTTACCTGAATTTATATGGATAGCAGATCACTCTATAATTTATGGAAAGAATTTTTTTGTTCTGCTGATTGACTTTGAAGGAAGTTAATATGAGTTTCAAAATGATGAACTTTGGACAAAATGTTGTGGCACTCATGATATAGAAAAAGCTACATAAATCATTTTCACATCCTCTTGAAAATGCATTTCCTAAAATATAATTCCTCAAGGCTATTCCCAAGAGCACCATGTGCTATATAAACATATGTACACATAGATGGCTTTGTAGTTGAAGGTTCTCAGTTCTATTTATGTCTTCCTATCATATAGCATCTGTTGATCTTTACAGTTAACTGTAAAACTGCAGTTTTAGGGTAAGAATAGATGATGCAATCTATGAATAAGTGTGATACCTTAAAGTTCAACAGTTTCATGTCAAGCACTAATCAGATCAGATGTACTTAAATCAATGTATGTAATCAAATGAGTAATGCTTGGAGTGCTCTTGCTGTGTTTGTCTAAAACTAAAAAGAAGAACAAGGGATTGCCTTACAAAGTTGCTTGCTGAAGTGGGTCAAAGAATACCATGGCTTGTAGCCTTTGTTTTGCAGTTGTGAAATGTATTAGAGACAATGGTCATGCAGAGACAGAGTACTGACTTGTTTAATTAGATAGAGGCATAATTGATTGAATAAATTAGCATCACATGCTTTATCAATGGACTGATTCTCTTAACAATGCCTTTTGCCAGTACTTGGCCTTTATTTTTGCACAAAAATCTGTAGGTATAGATAGAAAATTATAACAACACATTTTTCTGGTTCTTTCCACAGCAAAAACTGGATGGATATAGAGAACTGTCCAAGAAAGGAGAAGAGCTGAACAAGGACCAGCTGGTAAGATCCTCATGTAACTTGCAGGGACATTTGTATAGTCCTAGTATTAAACTTCTAGCCACCCATTCGTAACATGTAATTTAGAAAACTGATACTTCTAGGCGAAGGGTGCAGTTTTGGGAGTTTTTGTGCAGAGTGAACTGTCACCATATTAGGAGGTGACTTTTATTGTGGTCATGTCTCCAAATCTTGAAACAAAAGATTAAACATATGCTCCATACTGTTCAGTGTTCATGGTATCCATGTTAGTCTTATAAACATTTGGCAATGTTTTGTGATTTTTTGTTTAAATTGATTGTTCTGATGTGGAAAACGAAGCTAAGTTTTACATGCAGTCTGTACTTGCAAATATGCGGAACATGCGAATCCACTTGCCTTTCCAGAACAATGAACATTCAGAATGTGAGATGTTATCTAAATTGTTCTTGTCCTGTCACTGTGTCCATGTCCATAGATCTCCTGCACTGGTATGTAGACTTTTCCCATGATAGCTGGTGCCAAGAACTGCGTGCTTCTTTTTGTCTGGCACTGACTGTGCAAAGGCCTTGATGCCAACCCATGACAAACATGTGAGGAGAAAATAAATACAAGAAAAATGGCAGTCTCACACTATCCCTGATCTCAACGGTTACAGTGGCATTCCTACAAGAAAGGACGAGACGGATGAGAAATGTTGATGGCATGTAACCATTGTTGTGTTCTGAGGATTTTTTGTTTTCCCGGTTACAGGAAGCTGCCGCGAAGTATGATGAGGTTGTGCAGTGTCTGGAGCTGACTAATGACTTCATGAAGCAGTTCCTGACTATCAACGCTGAGGTGAGGAGAACATACACTTTGTCATGGCCGTGATTTCTGTGCTGTAGACCCAGAAGTTAATAAAATAAAGATAGATATTTCGTCCCCATAACATCCTGTCCTGGAACTGTAGGGGCGTTTGTCATGGTCATATTTCTGTGTTGTTTGACGATAGACCCAGAAGTTGGTGAAAGGGGCAAAGTGCCAGCTGCTGGCTCAACAGGATGTAGAGCTCAAGAGAAAAAAAATAGATATTTTTGGGCCCCCTAGCAGCTTGGCCTGGTACTGTAGGATATTTTTGTCACGGTCATATTTCTGCATTGTAGACCCAGAAGTTGGTGAAGAAGGCGGAGAAGCGCCAGCTGCTGGCTCAGCGGGAGGTGGAGCTCAAGAGAGTGCAGGACCTACTGGAGATTCAGCACGTGCTGGACCTGCTGGGCACCGACGCCGTTCGCGACGACTTCAAACAGGGCAAGCCTGGCGCCGTGGTGAGTACGGCTGGCAGCACGCGATAACGGGATTACCCGCACCTCCTCCATCTTTACCAATGATTGCTGCCGTTGGCTTTTATTGCAAAAACATATCTATGGTAACAAGGCGTAAATTAAAAGATAATTTGTGGTAATAATCCCATTGAAATCACAATTGCAAAGGAAGATTTCTGCATCGTGATTGCAGGTGTTACTGCATGTCAAAGGCTTTTTTAAACCAATTGTATTTATGGGTTCACCACACCACGAAGTGGGTGTGGTGAAACCATATTGCTTTTTCTGGTGTTTCTTCTTCTCCTCCTCCTCCTCCTCCTCCTTCTTCTCCTGCCATTTTTTAAATGGATTCAGCTTCTTCATTTTAGGGCCTAAGGTCCTGAAATTTGGTATGGAGGTACAGTGGGCAAATACCCTTAGGCGTTTTTTGAATTTTTGTGATACAGGCTTTTAGAATGGTTTTATTTGAGTTTTTTGGCTGTGTTATAGCAAATGTATTACTGTGTTAGTGTGTCATGTTTACCACGTTTGGGTATGAGTCATCACAATGGAATGCAGGGCATCAACCAATAGGCATGCAGCTTTCCTCTATTCTTCTTGCTGATTGGCTGTTGGGATTTAACTTGATTAACACCTGCACAGAGCATTTCCATACTGACAGTATGTCTGTATTCAAGTGTTTTGGTAGGTATTTCAAGCTTTCCTGCTCCAGCATTGGAATGCGGGGCATGAACGTTATTTTTATTTTGAAAATCAACAGTTTGCATTATGCAATTAAAAATCCTAACCAATAAAGTAGGGAATAGCTATCCAACTGTTGTTTTAGTCGTATGTTACTTCATATTATAGTTATATCAATGTAAATCATTGTTTTCCCTTGTGTTTCTCATTCTTTCCCTGCCATGTCGTAAAATGTGGTGAACCCATCGCTGTATTTGCTCCAAAGCAAATATTGGCCTTTCTAGTTTATACATGTATCAAATGAGGCAGTCTTACAACTTATTGTAGTAGGCTTATCCCAAAGTCCTGCCCTCCTGCATCAAATCATAGAAATTTAAGATAATGAAAGAAAAGTGCAAATACATGTACTAGCATTTAGTGGACATGCAGCACTCTCATTGGTCAAACTGCTAATTGCCATGCTATGATTGGTTGAACTGCTAATTGTGATGGACAGTCAGGATTGGTCTATTGTTGAGGCTGTGTAATAATTATGCTCTGGTTGTCCCTCCCCCGCCCAGCCCCTGACGGAGGCCCAGCTGACACAGCTGGACGAGCTGTACAAGGTCATTAACCCTGAGACAGAGGAAGGCACCAGTTTCTGCAGCCAGCAGGCAGACGCCAGTGAGCATGTCCTGTGTCTTCTGGACGCTCGTGACAAGGAGATAGCAGGCACCACATGTATCCTTGTCCTACCTATACCAAGCAAACTGTTTTATTAATCATAGATCTTGTTCTCAACAGTAGTTCATGCTTGCTACAGTAGATAATTCTAATCTTTAACCTTAAAATACTTGAGGTTGAAATTGCTTTGACTGCACACTTGAAAATTACCTGTACCAGATGAATTTTACCTGCACCACTCAGAATTCAGGAAGCCATTGCCATTATTTCTTTTATACTTCATAGGCTGTATGTCAATGTAGCAAATAAAATTCCACATACACCAATATGTTCAATGTTACAGAAAGCCAGAGCAGTGCAGGTAGACCTGTATATCTCCAATTTTAGCTGCACTAACCTACAGGTGCAGGTGGTACAAATTCCAAACTGTAGCATATTTAGGATGTTGCCCTTTACCACTGACTTGCAATGCAAAGACATTCCTTCTTAGGGATGCTTTTACACCTCTGCCATGGATGTATTCTAGTATTTGCCAATTACCGGTAGAGAGTATGAGCACCACTGGGATTTTTACCCACATTATTTGTAGCACAAAGAGGTATCATGACCCAATACGACCCTTGACCCTACGCCGCAGACAAAGACTTGCGGGAATTGCTCCAGGAAGTCGTGAACTGCCCGTACTGGGACAAGATGCACGCCCAGCCCGAGCCAGCCGCCGAGAACGGGCCGCCCCAAGATGAACAACAGGAGGAAGAAGGTAGGACAGGACGGAATGGACGCAAAGAATAATCTTTTGAATCAGCTCCAAAAATCCCATGTCACTCCTCTGTACAGAAAAGGAAAACTTTCAAAGCGATACTGAAGCAAAGAGTTGCTGTTGTAATTTCAATAAGAATTTTTTAAATGTTGTTGATCACATGAACTGATACTTTGATAAAGGTTAGAATCCAAGTAAATGATACTCAAATTCTACTTCTAAGAAATACGAAGAACATATTGAGTGCCATCCATCGCTCTTCTTCATTATGTTTACCGAAGGAGAACATATTGTTTTGGCTCTTGTTTCTTCTCCAAACAAATAAGGTCAATGATCTGAACCAGATGTCTGTCACCATGGTAACAAGTGTTGGGTTACCTCATTTTACGCAATTTTATACTAATTATAGCAGAAGGGATTGTTTGAGGAAGAATTAAGAGAGCAGATCATATGCGAAGGTAAACATTATGCATTTGCTTTGCAAATGTTACCTTTCTAGTGACTGACTTTTTTCACCTGTTTCAGAAGAAGAGGTGGAAGAGGAGGCTCCACCTCAGCAGGTGCCTCAGCAGGAGGAGTTTGTTGCCGTGGAGACGGAGGACATCACCACTGTGGAAGAGACTGAGGTATGTGTGGTAGAGAAACCATAGTCAGCCTATGTATCTTCTGTTAGTCCTTCATACTGTATAGACATAGTCAGTGCAAGTCTCAAAAGCTTATTTCCAGGAGTGCTTGCATGCAAAAAAAATCAAAAGATATTTAGCTTTGACTGCATTTTTTACTAATAAATGTCATGCTCATTGGACGAAATTTGTTATTATCTTATTGTCCTCAGTGTTTGAAAGATAAGAATGTCATTGTCCATCAGTTGGGAAAAATACATTGTGAAAAAGTGAGCAAAAAAAACTAGTGCACAAAGAGGCATTCATTACAGAATATTATTTACATTTGTGTTTTTTTTCTTGCTCTCCCTTAAATCTAGGGTGTAAGGTCCCACCTTTTTGTTGAACTACACAGTGGTTTCAGCAAAATTCACTTTTTTCTTTTCCATGCATAGGTGCTCAAAACTTCCCTGGTCTTTGAGCGCCGGGTAGGTGATCAACTCCCAGATTCTCCCCTCCAAGGTTGACCCCTCTGTAACCCCTGACCCCTTCTGCATGTTTCTAACCCTGATTATCTCGATAAAGTCAATGTACCATGTTCATTTTCTTGCATGAAAGGAGACACCAACCAACCAACGTACCTTTTCTGTTCCCTTTTTTTTAACAACCTCTGACGTCACTTTACCGTGTTTCCCTATGCCTGCATGTTACGTGTATCTGTTATACTGATGGTGCTAAGAAGATCTAAAACTCTTTGCCAGGAAAAGTGTCATAAAGCTACGAGATCCATTTCGATAGTACTTAATGCTTAAGTTATGTTATAAAGGATGTCTGATAGATTTTAGTGCTTAAAGTTAAACATAAGATTCAGAATCTGGACATTTGAACCATTATTATTAAAAGATCGTGAAGAAGCTAACAACTTGGCCTGTGCACGACATTGTTTTACTGCTAATTATTACATACTGAGGCATTTTCTGTACGATTTATTCAGTAAGGTGATGTGCTGTCAAGTACGTACTTGATTTCTGAATCCCATCTTTTGGCATACATTGACAAGATCATAATCACATTGCTATGAAGGTTAAGAAGACCTACTCTTCTCCCAACCCCCAGGTGCAGGAACCCCTGGCCCCCGAGCCTCCCCAGGAGCCCCTGGTGCCCAACCAGACGTCGGCGTCCATGGCGGACTCCATGTTCGCCATGACGGCGGCCCAGCAGGCGATGGTGGTGCGGCCGCAGCGCTCGCTGGACGAGGTTCTGGCAACGGTGCAGGGCAGCTTCAACTTCATGCAGGAGTCGCTGATCGACAGGGAAAGTATGTGGACGTCCTGTCTTCCAGCTTTTAGATTCTTCCCACCTTCATAAGGCTATGAATTAAACCTGGGTCTTATCACCCTGTGAAACACACAGCTGTTGTTCGATGTAGGCAGTGGCTAGCACATCTTCATCAGAACTAGTTGTTACTGAACTAGTAACAAACAAAAAAGCATGGCCAGGGGGCAAGTGAAAAACTATTTTCCTTTTTCTGAAACAAGCATCTCAAAGTGAAAAACTCAATCCCTGTTCCTAGACGTTTGTGAAGGAAATATCGAGGTGTCTTGAGAAAGTATTGCGGCGACATGTAACGTAGAGGTGCTGTGTTGTCCTTTCAGCCCCGACCCATAGTATGGACCCAGCTGTGGTCGCCGCCCAGCCAAGTATGTCGGGACCCCCTAAACCTATCACTCCGCCCCCTTCTGTACAACAGAAAGGTACGTAGCCTTGTCCAAAAGTTACTCCCAAATCCATTCTTTTCCCAAAGTTCCCAACAATGCCTCCCCTTTTGTTCGTGTCCTTGTGATTTCAGTATTTCGCAAAAATGTCTTGTCATTTTTTTGCTTTGGCGCTCGCATGCATTACTTTCGAATTGATGGTAGAAATACTGCAGAAACTACAACACTAGTCGACCCAGTTAGTATATATGTCATTCAGAAGTTAGTTCTTAGCTTTATCCTAGAACAAGCTTTTTTCAACACTTTTACTTAGCATTGTCATCTCAAACATCACAAATGTAATCATAATGATTGTTGTCAAGTTAACGATGCAAGTCATAGCCAACTGCATTGAGAACTTTTCATGTGGTACTACATTTTTTCTTTTTTGTCTGAGTGTGTAATTGTTTACTGATACTGCAGTAGAACACTTGACTTTATATGTAGGTACAAGTTCTAATCATAGTTGCGGAGTTCAGTGTTTGTTCCAACACAAGAAAGGAATTTTCCGTCGACCTTGTCTCCAGAAGTCGCAAGGGTAAAGACATTAGGAGTGAATAAAAAATGTTTGGGAAGACGGAATCTTCCACCAGTACATTTCAGAGAGGGTTGATTGGCCAATTCTGTCTTCCAGCCATTTTTTATTCACTCCTGACGTCATAACGCTTCCAACTTCCGGAGAGTCAGGGAGTGCATCATGCATCTGACGCCAAGCGAAGTTCCTTTCTTAAGTCGGTACAAAGCTTGAACTTTACAACTTTGGATTCTACCAACACAGATGAACTTTCATTCTAATCATGGTAATGAATTAACATGACCATTTTTTGTTTACAGAACAATCCCAGCAGACAGGCTACCCCCAGCAGGCCCCGGCACAGGTACCACAGGCCCCCAGGACGATCACACCGCCCCCTACAGCTACTACCACACAAACACAGACCAACCAGACACTGTACGGCCAGTCATACACGGGGAACGCCCAGCTTGGACAGACAGCAAATAACCAGTACAGCAGCAACTCGTACGGACAATCCAGCTCCCAGTACAACACTCAGAACTCTCAGTACAACTCCCAACAGAGCCAGTACGGCAGCAGCACAGCAAACTCACAATACAGCAGTCAGCAAACGTCCAGCAACTACCAGACCAGCTCCAGCACACAATACGGCAGCCAGGCGGTGGCGGGCACGCAGTACGGAGGACAGTCCGGACTCTCGCAAATGTCGAACCAACAGTACAACTCTCAGCAGTGGGGCGTGGACACGGGTTCGCACGCGGAGCAGTCCCTCAGTAAGCTTGGTTCCTCCTCGCTGGGCTCTCAGTCGCAGAGCCTGTCAGACCATTCCTTAGGAAACATAGGCTCCAGCTACAACCCCCCTCCCACCATTCCCCTTCCCAACGACCAGTCCACCATGCAAACCTCTCAGAGCTACGGACTCCAGGACTCCTCTCAGACTGGCCAGTTGTCGTACACGGGACACGAGGCGTCCAAAATGGCAGCGCTGAACGATAACAACAGGATTCCCCTGCCCAGCGAGACGCCCACCATACCCATGCCCAATCAGAACGATGTACAGGTACCAAAGTCATCAGCAGGCACCAATGTGAACGCAGCGCCATTTCAGTCAACGATGGCGTCATACTCGATGCAGGGTGGTGAGAACCCGCAGCAGATGTCCCCGCCCCAGAGCCAACAGTACCCTTCACAGACGGAACAATATGGCGACGCTACAGTCACCACCGGAGACTCCGGAGGTATGTGTGCTGCTTGTGTATCCTTTAACAATACCTCAACCTCAGTTTTGTAATGTAGTACCTGTTAGCAAAAGTGACGTTAAAATAGGCCATCAATGAACTTGGCTAGCTCCTCAGCTCTGAAAATTTTACCTAGACACCCCCTCAGCCAGGGGTAATATACAGGCTAGTTTCTTGGCTCCTAAAATTTTGCCTACACACCCCCTCAGATAGACTCGGCTCGAGAGATATATTAGACTCCCAGGCGCTAACTCGGAGATCGAGGCTTGTGGCTTCCCCCAGCCATGGGGATGGTGAGTGTCTAGCCGGGGTCTGGCATCCAGGCTAGCCGAACCACTGACATGATGAGAGTTGTTGTTCCCCCCAGGTTTCCAGCAGTCTGGCCTCATGACGTCCCAACAGCACTTCCGCAACCAGCCCTTCCAGAACAGAGGGGGCCGGGGCGGTCGTGGGGGCCGGGGAAACAGCGCATCCTTCAGGGGACGCGGGGGTATGAACGGGAGAGGAAACGCACGCTTCAACAGCGCTTTCACAGGTAGGTAGCCACACTCTCACATTATAAACTTTGTTGCATGGCAATTGTACAAGGTGTATAGTATGGCAGCTACTTGTAAATATCTGGGTTGTACACCTACTGTACTGTTTTTATAGTTGTTGTAAATATATAATTTTTTGACATTTTATCTTGTAAATATCAACGCCATTCAGGCAACATTGTATGTCATTTTTGTCTGTTATATTTGATATCTTAATAAAAAATTGAGAATTGAGCTACTAATAGCACATTTTGCAAGTTGCACAAGTCACAAGATATTCTAACCAACTGAGCTGTGTGAAAAAAATTCTCTCTGACCATACTTGAATTTCTATGGTTTTAATGAAGTTACCGAACATGGAATGAAGTATAGTCCAGAAATTGTCAGCATACTCAAATGCACTCACAATCAATGACATTGCCACCACAGTTCAGCCACGTAACACATAACATTCAGCCTTTCTACCAACATTCAATGGTTCGTGTTATTTCTGTCTCTCCTTTTTTTCTGTCAGTTTCTTTGTATAAATTGTTTTCAACCTATCTGCATGACAGACAAAACTCACACACGCTGGGTGACTGACATGTACATATCTCTCAGCAGGGCCTTACCATGACACCACTAACATACATGTACCCCTTGACCTCACACGCTTCCATGGCAAGTACCACACTCCTAGCTCACTCACAATACAGGCAAACCTTCAAGAGTACATTTTAACATTAGATACAGACTTGAAATGCTTGTTTTTGTGGTGTTTCTGACAGAAAAGAAGCACACAGCAATTTGCCATTTTCCCCACTTTACACGGTGACTTTTTGCATTAAATTTTCTAAATCATTCTTGGCTAACCCATACGATTTTACCATCCAGGTTTCTACCAGAACTCCAACCCTGGGTACCAGGGTGGTTTCAGAGGTGACCAGACGTTTCCCAACACATACGGACAGGACCAGCAGAGGAGCTACACTAGGGCACAGGTCAGCAACTGGAAACTTAGAATCAACATGTACAATTGTGTCTGACTCTCCTCCATCATTCCAGGAGTCCCGTTTGTTTTGTTTTGTGGTAAACAAAAAAGTTACTGGATTATTTGATCAGTGGTCTTGTATTCATTGAACACAATTGTTGATGTTTAGTAAGGTAAGGTTACAAAGATTTTTCTGAAAAGTTTTAAAGGTCTAGCAGTTCTCTAGCCGGCCTGAATTTTTTTTCGTCATCTCAATTTTGTTTGACGTAACATCATGTTGCACACCAAAGGGGGGGGGGTCCAAAATATTTTGACATTTTGACCCTCTGAAATGCTATTTCCTACTTTTTGAGGGGCAAATTTTGCTGGTAGGCTAAGCCTAGTTTAATGACATCTCTATTTCTTAAAACGCTGATTTTTTTTCCGTCAAAGATGACGGGTTGGTTATAAATTTTTTGTCTGTCAAGAGTGGCAAAATTTTGTCAAATGATGGACACTGGCCAGAACACTGAGGTGTGGATATAAATCTAATTGTTGTTTTGTTGTTGTTTGTTTAGGATGGTTTCCCCAGGGGAGGCAGGGGCGGCATCGGCCCTCGTGGAGCCCCCAGGGGAGGTGTGTACACCAGTGTACATCTGTGTTTATGCTCGTCCCACATGTGAACTCTGTAGCATTGTTATAGGCAATGGTGTAGTTATTTGCCTCAATATTTATCAGTGCTCAAAAACTTGCTATATATTGTACCTGTTACAATTGCAGTGCAATAAAGCTTGACTTGACTTGTAAACTGTTGCGTAAGATAATATATAACAAAACATCCCAAAACTTGTTCAATACGAGCAATTGCCATGACGTCACGGCCAGTAAGTGGTAGGCAAAAAGGGGGTATTGGTTGAATGATTTGCCTATCATGATTTGCAAATGCTTAAAGATAATGGATGTAAACAAAACAGTGATCGCTCATATCCAATGACCACCCCAGAGGGATCAGACTGAAGAGCTAATATCGATACCCCCTTTGTAGCCATGTGTGTTTTCTTAAACTCTAACCTCTTAGTGGAATCCTATAGCGTTGTGTAATGTTTCTAGTGTTGTTAATTCTTTGTCGTTCCCCCCGCAGCCATCGCTGTCGGCGGTCGCGGCGGGATGCGGGGCATGGGATCCCCGCGAGGCGGACGCGGAGGCTTCAACAAGCCGCCATCCTCCCAGCCAGGTGCAGCCTCCCCTCCCCAGCCACAGGCAGTGGCATAGTCCATCCACCACCACCACACCCATCATGAACTGACCAATGACGATCAAGCTCTCTCCAATACTGACCAATAACATGTAGTGTAGCAGACTTGATTAATGCAAACATATACTGTACTGAGGGGTAGTCCTTTGTTTGGCTCAGGTAAAAACAAGTGGGCATAGAAGACACAATTTTTGCTGACCATTTGGAGTTTTACAGTGAGACAGAAAAGATGACCATGCCCTCTTAAATAGAACTATCCGTAAGTAAATAGGTTCAGGTGCTTTTGATCCCATGGTACCGGTACTTGAGAAGTGTCTTTTACCATGTTCTCTGACAGTTTATACTAAACTCCCTCTCGCAAAGTAACAATGTCATAGACTATTATTTCAGTATGTCAATCATCCTGAAAGTTTATATACCACTGCGAAGGTTGAAGTCAGCAAAATCTTAGCATGTGCGAAAATGTCAGAGAACATGGAAGTCACAAAGTATGGAAAAGGTATTGTTGCTTTTAGTATCCACATTACAAAATGACATGCCTGCTTTGTACAAATTATCGCTATACCGGGATGGTTATACAGAAGGGATGGTTTCAAAAGCTCCTGATACCTATAGATGTATTTAATTCTAATCCAGACACTTCAGAGGAAGCAGTTGAATAATTTGTTGAACCTTTTTTTCTTCCTCCCTTTTGTTGAATTTCTATTTTTTAAGTTTCTGTTCAGCGGAAGGTTGGATGTGTTTCTGCCGTTTGCACCTTTGTTTTAGAGCTGAACCTGTAACACGTATGTCTTTTGAGAGACATGTCATCGTCTTAAAAAGATACGATGCTCCGCCATTGAGGTGTCTCTAAAAACTTACCAACTCATTTTGTTAAATGTATGTACGAGAACACTGAAAGGGGGAAATGAAGAGCATGCATGGCCACTCATAATGTGGAGACACATATTGTTGGCTGGGGCATATTTGTGACCACCATCTGACACCAAGTAAAAGAAAAAAACTGAAGAAAAAAATCGCAAAAGTTGAAAAAAAAACTAAAGAAGAAAAATAAAGTTGTTCCATAGG